GAACATGTACTGCAATTCGGTTTAAGCTAGAGAAATTAGATGTACACCAATAGTTTTTCCTATTTTTTTAATTTAATGAATAAATCAACATTCATAGAACTTGGAAGCCTTTTTAACAAAGAAGACAAGTAACAAATGTAATTGATATATATTTTTTTCACATATAAAAGATAAATTAATCTATGATCAGAGCCACGAAACATTGCTAGCTGCAAATATAATTTAAGCACGTTTAGCAACACAAACCAGTATTGCTGTGATGTTCCAAGGACTGCAACTAAAAGGCCCATCTAGCAAGTCCCTCCGAGTCGACCTTGATGGCTGCAAAGGAGGACCGGTATCTCTTGACGAAGCAGAAGAAGAAAATGAAGACGACGAAGAACTTGAATTATGAACTGATGCTACGAATTCCCCATCAGAATCTCCAATCTTTGATCTTTCAAATCTTTCCGAGCTGATGTTACTTGCATTAGTACTCTCCTTAGGTCCATTTTGTACCCTTTTACTCTCTTGGCTCTTCTTGAATTTCTTCCAAAACCACACCCTTGACTTGGTTGAGCCCTTGCTGCTAGGTTGGTCGACACAAGGCCTAGGTAGCCCCATGCTTTGGACTGCCGGTGGAGGGTTGAGCGGTGGAATGACCTCGTTTTCCGGTGGATGCTTTGGTGTCCCCGGCTGCATCTCCCACTTAAAGGGAACCCCTTCAGCACTCCGGTAATATATGCGCGAAGATTGCCCTACTGATGACTCTCTTGAAAGAATTCTATCAAAGTAGAATCTATCTCCTTGAAGAACAGAAACCGGTTTTCGCGAATCGTTATACTTGTAATCCATTTTCCTTATGAAGCTTTGTAAGATTTTCTAGGTTATTGAAGTGTTCTTGACAAATGAATTATTGTAATAAGGTGCAAAGATCATTGAAGCTTGTATATATAGAGGATATGGCTACGTTAGTGTTGACTATGCATTATTAAATAAAGTTGCATACATACAGAGAATTATACGGCTAATTAATATAATTTCTTATAGTAAACATCATATTATTTTTATTTGTACATTTTACTCTTCTGTTACTTTTCTTTCGAGTGACTTGATGACTTTGATCTCTTTCAAGAAATTAAAACCAAATAAAAAGGAAGAAATTACCTTTGATCTGAAGGTTACGTTAACATTTTTTGGCCATGTTAGGAAACTATATATATATATATATGTTGCATGTGAATTCAATTACCAAACCCTTAAGACATGCCTCTAGCTTTATTTCTAGCTTTATTTCTAATTTCTATCTACTTGATTAGTTAATTACCACACCCAATCCTGATTCTCTGAAGGTGGAGAGGCTGCAATTGTTACACTCGGACACTTGTCACTGTAAAAGAAGTGCCACGTAAGCATAGATTTTGTGGCTTTATAAAATGACAAGAGTGCCCCTCTGAGTTGTGAAATGTCCACCTTATTATTGGTCATGGACTGAGAGCAAATTGATTTCAATTGCATGCTAATCTAATTGCAAAAAGAACCAAGGTGGTATTGTGGAGAGAACTCAAATTGATTCATTGAATTTCTACTACTACTCTCTTAATTAATAAAAAGTACTACTATATTTCATTGACATGAGGGATTTGTTTTTTCTTCAGCATGTGCTTTGACTAAGCACATGATTTTAGTTAATGAGTAACCTAGGTTGTTAACGCGGTAGTTGTTAACCAAATCAAAGAAAAAAAAGAAACTAGCCTCCATATTCAAGTAAAGCTTAAAATTAAAAAATAGCAAAAGAAAACAAAAAACAAAAAAATGGTTTTGTTGTTGTTAAACTATATGTGTGCGCGCGCGCGCAGGGTTGGAATGCAAATTGATGGCCTCCAATACAAGTCTTCTCGCAGGTCTCAACACACAGGAGAAACCCCATGATTGATTTAGGCACAAATTTCCGTTGACATATATTGATGATGAAGCTATTTAATTAAATTTAATGGATGAGTAGTGTTATATACACCAACTAAATAGAGTAGACTTTTTAGATTAAATAGAGTAGACTTCTCAAATTAATTTAAGAACAACCATTACACACATTCTTGTGAGCTTTACAGAATTATTGTAATTGAGACCGTTCGAGAAATTGACTCTATTTATTTATTTTAAAATATTTTTTACCACTCAATAATATATTCTTTTTGAAAAATTGAACTTACGATGACGTCACGACGAAGCTCACCCCCTCTTACTGGTAGAGTGCAATGAGTTCGAAAATTTTAACTTACGATGATGTCACGATGGGACTCACCCCCACTCACACTGTTAGAGTTCAATAAATTCAAAAAATACGATGATATCACGGGAGTCACCCCCACTCACATTGTTGAAATTGGTTGAGTTCAAAGCTGGACTATGTATGACTCTAAACTAAAGAGTAATGTTATTCAATGTTTTGAATTCCATTTATGCCCCTATTAAAAGGAATGTAACAATTCTTATGCACCATTTAGGCTTTTATGGACTTACATATATTAGGGTCACAAATAATTTTCCTCTAAGTGCGAGTGTAGTCCCCATATTAATAGCAACTACCAATGGCACCTTAACCCTAACACCAGTCTGTTCATGACCGTTGGATGGATAAGAAATTCAACGACTAATTGAAAATTTAAATTCAAACCAAGACTCCTACTAGGAACCAACAACATAACAGGTCCTTCACAACTCTTCACTTGAGAAAGCAATCACAATTCACAAAAGAATTAAGAAGGCGGCATGGCAACACAAGGCAAGAGCAGTAAACATTTATCTTCTTCTCCTTTGCTAGTATCAACCCATTGCTCAGGATTAAAATCGTTGTATCGCACATGTCGACGCCAATTCTCTTGTTCAGAGTTGTCTGATCATCATTTACTGAACAACCCTATATCAAGAAGAGCAACCACTCTTGAAGGACAAACTGCCCAAAAGAAATCCACTCCTCTTTCTTCTCCTATGACGCCGACAAGATCACATGACTACTGCATCAAAAACAGACGAGTGGCAGCAAAAATGTACTGGGAAAGAGCCCAGCAATTAGAGACAGAGCTTACTGAGCTTGATAATTGGCTAAGCACTGAAAAGAAGCTTCGGGATGATCTAAACAATTGTGGAAGAAAAAATGAAGTTTGTGCAAAGAGTGAGCTTATGAAACTAACACATGGAGGTTATCTGCATTATATTAATGTTGCCACATTGGGTAGGCCTTATCGAAAAAATCTGGTAATGCAAGTTTCAGAACCTGCAATGTTACTTGTTGAGGCTGGCTCACGTATCCCACAGGTAAAATAAATGATCAGTACTAATATATATATATATATATAGTTCAGTATAATCTATGTGTACTGAGTCATGTAATTAATGTAGAGTTAGTTTCTAAAACAATCAGACTAGTTTTGATTTTAATTAAATTAATGGAAATTTAAGCTAAACTAAATTTGGATAAAATTTAATTTGGTTCTATAATAAGTGACAAATGTAGGTGATATTGTATTTGAGTATACCTAATATATTGTATGCTTTTAATTCTGGTCTCAAATTGTTGAACAGGTTCTAAATCGGATGGCGTTAATGGGGAGAGAGAGTCTGATCCAGTGGCTGCTTGAGTCAATGGCAATGAATGATGATATTTCAGGCACGAAGATTGGTGCTAGGCCAATTGAACAATGCTCTGAAGAAGGCTTCTTGGAAGCCATCTTCTTGAATGCAGTGGAGAATCTAAAGATGCTGGTTTTGGAGGGTATGGAAGTTCAAACCGGTGGCAGAGGAAAGACAAAATCAGAGGAGACATGGAAGAAGAAGCTAAATGAAGATACAGTTGGAAATTGTATCACTGAAGTGATGCTCATACAAATTAGAGATCCAAACAAGGAATTTGAAGCTGTTGGCGAAATGATGATTGGGCTTGTTGAGACATCGATTACATGTAGAGAAGAAAGAGGATTTCTTATAAAGGGTGTTCATGTTGCTGGAATTTCAACTAAAACAAGTGATCAAACTGGCAAAAACGAATATCTATGGAGTATTTCTATGAGAAGCAGCAGTGAGAAATTTGCGAGGAATGTTGAAATCTATCTTCCTTCCTCCATAACAATGAAGGCATTGTAATTATTTATTTTTGTTTATTTTCTTTAAAATTTTTATTTGGGATTAGAATTCAAATTTCCTAATAAACCTACTATGTGCCATCTACCATTCTACCTCTTGTTCTTGAGCATATTGTATATGATTACAAATAAAAACTTGGTTATATTTGTAAATATGTTAATATGGTTTCGGAAATTTGGGTTTACAATGTCTTAGGTTCAAGTCTCAGTTTGAATTTGTCTCTCCAATTCTGCAGTACTCCACCTTGATGATGTTTGTGTTCACCACTCGGAAAGAAAATTTTCACCATACAATAGAAGGTATAAATAAATGTATACGCACTCACAAAAAACAGTTTGGTCAGTGTCCAAAGTCCGAAAGCTTGAAACATAAATTTAATTTACTGTCTGTAACAAACTGGAGTATAGGATGAATGAGAATTCAATACACAAGGATACCCCTAAACCAACACATACACATGCAATTTTAACAAAGAAAGGGTCACATTAACATCGCAGCTTAAAAGCAAACCTTCCGGTAAACATTTGAAACAAAAGATTCCACTTCCGGAAGAACAATAAAAATTTGAATCCCATACATGCACATACATATTTAAATTAAATTTCTACTAGCAATGGTAGGAAAATTGAATGACAAAAACATAGGAAAATAAAGAAAAAGCAAATTGATGGTCAAAAATCAAATTGTGTTTACTTTCACCTTCTTTATGATCTCTTTGGGTGAAACAAGGCTCTCCAAACAAGTTACTGCTTTGTCCCAGTCGGGAACATTTTTAAAGTCCACATACCTATGTGTTTTTTCTTTTAGATTGCACATAACAAAGTCGCTATCAATTGCAAATAAAATTTCATTTTCGTCGTTTGAGAAATCCAAATGCATCAGGAAATGGTAGAGGATGGGAGGACAAACTCGTATTTAGTCCAAGACTCTCTCCTGCCGTATTCCTTCATCACCCAAAAGGTGATCAAGTCATCGGAGCTAGATTGTAATAGGAGATAAAGATATCCTTTGACAATTCCGACCAATTCAGGAATTTCAGTCAAACCAGGAGGTAATGGAACATCTCCGAATTTTTCCTCATCTAAACTAAGAGAAGCAATTTTACTCCCATCTTCATCGAACCAGTGGAATTTGCCATTCAAAAACACTGCTGAATCAAACACAGATGAAAAAGGAAAATCTGAAATCCGTCCCCAGCAATTTGATTTTAGTGAATATAAACTCATCCTAATGAATTTTTTTTTTTCATATAATGAGACTTGAACAACCTTGTAGTCATCACGGGATGCATCATAGCCAAGCCCAAAAGATGTGGTATTAGCAAAATTTTTAAATGGTGAGTCTGGCAATTTAAACATTTCTCTAGTTGACAGATTCACCAGGTATAACGTGCGATAATATGTAAAATAACATAACACCAAGCCATGACAAGATCCGGCTATAGTCATCCCATTCTTCTGCTCATCATCATAATCATCACCGTCACCATCATCATCATAATAACCATAACCATAATAACGATAACCGTAACCATCATTATCATCAATATGATCGTCATTAAAGATGTCAATTCCATCAACGTGATCATAAATATCAACCCTAGTGCTCTCGCCGTCTTCAACCATGCCGCCGCAAGACGACACATAAAGACTCCACATTGGATGAGGAGGATATCCCACAACGTTAAACGAATGTGTGAGGACGAGTTTAGAGTTTTTGGATCGTGTGAGGTGAAGCTTGACAAAGTGAGAATCTGCCAACATGGTGAGCCAAAACGTGGATACACGCTTAAATCGTACAATAGACACCACGGATAGTCTTGATAGTATTTCGACCATGACATCGTTTGGGAGGGTTGGTGATAACTCGTCTCCCTTCACCCTCTTTGTCTTCTTAGCCATACCTCCTCAACTAGTAGATGTCTAGAGTTCGTCGCCGGGAATAACCACCTAATATTTCAGTCAAATTGGAGTAACGGTTAGCGTCCGATCTACCTGTCTACCTTTCTCTCTCGTCAGTCCAGGCCAACTCCACTATGTGTTGCTTGCTTCTATTTCTCTCTCTAGCGCCGACCTGATGATGATACAAAACCCTTGCTTGACTGTCTTCTGTTTTGCTTTATTAAAAGCATGTGGGCTTGATGTCACGCCCCGCTTATGGAAGTTACGCCACGCAGGTGACATACAGGCGCTGAGTAGGATGTTGCATGGCGACTGCATGGTATGGGAGTTCCTAGAGTCTTCCGGAGTAGTCTAGAGTTGTGTAGAAGATTCTAGATATGTGAAGAAATGTGTAGAAGTGTGTGGAAGGTTCTAGAGTTCTCTAGAGTTGTGTAGAGTAGTATGGAGAGTTCTAGAATGTTGTAGATACTTATGGATAAGTATGGAAGTGTGAAGATGGTGGGAGAAGATTCTAGAGAATCTATCTCTACCATCGGTTAGAATGCATCCTAGCCGTTCATTAGGGATGGGGATGCCTATAAATAGGAGTGGGACTTCATTTTATAGACAACAAGTCCTAGAGTGATTCTTGAGAGCTTTGTAGAGAGCTTGAGTGCTAGCCTTGTACAAAGCATTCTTTGAAGTAATAGAATTGTTCTTTCCTTGCCAACTTAAGTGCCTTAATGTGTGTGAGTGTGCAAGCCAAGTGAGGAGAGGGCGAGGGACACTACAACATTAGTAAGTGCACGAGAGGTGTGTTGGCTAAGGTGTGCACGGGAGTTAGGCTGACCAAGTACTTGTGAGAGTGGAAGCAACGTCTTTGTGCCGCACCGGAGCAGCTAGAGTGGTGCTGAAACTCTAAGCCCGTGATAGTTGGTATCAGAGCAGGTTCGTCAAGGGAGTTTTGTTGGAGTAGACATGGCTAGCAGAGGAGACCACCAAGTCCACGTCTTGGAGTAGAGCTTGGAGGAGAAGCTTGCCACACACTTGGTCTACACGGAGACCAAGTTTAATAGGCTCGAGAGAAGGATGGCGGAGCTCTAGGAGCTAATTGATGGCATCGCTAACAAGGCGCAAGAGAAGGAAAGGGACTTGCATGATCGGGTAGACGACTTGTGCGTGGAGATTGCTGAGTGTAAGAAGGAGTTCTCCCAGGCGCCCGAGGTCATGGTGAAGCCAAGGAAGAAAAAGGCGCCGGAGCCCAAGGAGTATGATGGGGCAAGGAATGCGCGCCAGATTGACAACTTCTTCTGGCACATGGAGCGGTACTTCGAGTGCATGGAAATCTAGAACGATGAGGAGAAGGTGCAGACAGGCACTATGTATCTCACGGACACTACCGCTCTATGGTGGAGGCAGCGCTTCATCAGTAAAGGCGCAAGAGCGGGTGACACATGGGAGGAGTTCAAGAGGCAGCTCAAGAGGCAGTTCTACCCTGAGTGCGTCGAGGACCTAGCCATGATCAACCTAAGGCGCCTGAAACAGAAGGGCAGCATAAAGGAGTATGTAAAAGAGTACTCCAACTTGATACTAGAGATCCCAGAGATGCCGGAGCGGCAACGCGTGTGCTTGTTCATAGATGGGCTGCAGTCTTGGGTGGCCACGGAGCTGAGGAGGAGGGAGCCTAGAGACTTGGCATCCACAATGGCTATAGCGGAGCGCCTTGAAGACTTTAGACGCGATGATAAGAGGGTCACATCTCCCAGGAGGGATCACGGCAAAGGTGGGAGAGACCGGCGCTTCAAGAAAGGGAGTTCGCCCAAGTCCAGTGATGATAAGCACAGCGATGAGGAGAGACGCCCGCGCCATGACAAAGGCAAGGACCATGGAGAGAGGTCCAAGGCTAGTGGCAAAGGGGAGCGCCGAGACAAGGGCAAGTGGGAGCTGCCAAAGTGATACTTGTGCGAAGGGCCACACCTATTGAGACATTACCACAACAAAAAGACCATGAGTGCCCTTGTGATAGATAAGGGCAAAGGTAAGATGGATGATGCGGGTAGCGATGAAGACAGGTGCATGGGGGCTATGCAGATGCTGAGTAGCATGGCGCATGACACCAAGAAAAAGGGCAAGGCAAAGAAAGTAGCGGCGGTGCGCTATGTGGATGCGCAGGTTGGTGGCAAAGCCGTGCAAGCGTTGGTGGACACGGGCGCCGCACACAACTTCATTACCCCGAAAGAGGCGCAACGACTTGGCTTGGAGATGCGCAAGACGGAGGGCTGGATTAAGGCCGTCAACTCTGAGGAAGCACGCGTGAGTAAAATGTGCAAGGAGGTGGAGCTATGCATTCAAGGATGGAAGGGCAAAGCCAACTTCCAGGTTGCGGAGATGGACGACCACGACATGGTGCTGGGGCTGGAATTCATGGATAGGAACAACGCCGCGCCACTACCATGCCTTGGTGCGTTGATAATACTTTGAAGTGAAGAAGGCAAGACCGCATGCATGGTGCCGCTCGTGGGCAGGAAGGAGAGTCCAGAGGTGGCAGTGAACATGATGGAGCTCGTGAGGACCTCACATCTCCCGAAGGGCGCTTGTATGTTTGGGCCAAGGACATATGCGCAAGTGTTGATGACCTGCGAGAGGTTGGGTCAGCTGAAGAAACCATGACCAGGGCGTCACGGAAATGGGTGGGGGAGAATGTCACGCCCCGCTTATGGAAGTTACGCACGCAGGCGACATGCAGGCGCTGAGTAAGATGCTGCATGGCGACTGCATGGCAAGGGAGTTTCTAGAGTCTTCCAGAGTAGTCTAGAGTTGTGTGAAAGATTCTAGATATGTATAGAAATGTGTAGAAGTGTGTGGAAGGTTCTAGAGTTCTCTAGAGTTGTGTAGAGTAGTATGAAGAGTTCTAGAATGTTGTAGATACTTATGGATAAGTATGGAAGTGTGAAGATGGTGGGAGAAGATTCTAGAGAATCGATCTCTACCATCGGTTAGAATGCATCCTAGCCGTCTATTAGGGATGGGGATGCCTATAAATAGGAGTGGGACTTCATTTTGTAGACAACAAGTCCTAGAGTGAGTCTTGAGAGCCTTGTAGAGAGCTTGAGTGCTAGCCTTGTACAAAGCATTCTTTGAAGTAATAGAAGTGTTCTTTCCTTGTTAACTTAAGTGTCTTAGTGTGTGTGAGTGTGCAAGCCAAGTGAGGAGAGGGCGAGAGCCAGTACAACACTAGTAAGCGCACGAGAGGAGTGTGTTGGCTAAGGTGTGCATGGGAGTTAGGCTGACCAAGTACTTGCGAGAGTAGAAGCAACATCTTGGTGCCGCACGGGAGTAGCTAAAGTGGTGCTAAAACTCTAAGCCTGTGACATTGAGCCCACTTGATCAGCACCCACATGGGTTAGACCAACCCAAACAATTCTCTCCCTCCCCCGGCTCCACTAACCATTCTTTATTTAATAAACTTCCTTTTAATAAAAAGATTTTCTTAAGCTGTTTTTGGAATGGGAGGATTTCACTGGAATTAAATTTGGAAAGAAATTTCATTATGTTTGGACCCCTATTTACCAAAACAACCCCTCATGGTATATATATATATATATATATATATATATAATTTGAAATTGTATTTTACTCCACCTTTGGGATATTTCCGATCTATCGCAGCGAAGAAAAAGCAATCACCGAATATTAGTTTTATGTAATTATTCTATTAATGGCAGAATGTTTTGTGGTTTTCTTTTTCCTTTTTATCTTTTTTTGTTTTCTTCTTATAGATTTGGTCAATTGCCAATTGCCCAGTTGATGCATATAGGCGTTATTATTCTACACACGTCCATGGGTTATAAATAGTACTTAATTGACTTTTATTTTCTTTATTTTAAGAAACTTACAACAGAAATAAAATAATCCAGTAAAAAAACACTTTTCCGTCACTACCAATTGTTTATTCGCAGCAATAGAAACCAAAAAAAGTTAATCAAAAGAGATAAATAAAATGACCATTAAATAAATATTGTTTGAAGTATTGATTATAAAGCAAAACTCAAATTTCAAGATTGATCCATGTTTTATACTCATCTTAATAAAATATTTTGAATTTATTCAGCAACTAATTTAGAATGGAGACTACTATTGACTTCATAAATTTTTTAGAAAAATCATGCAAAACAACTGTTAATATATTATTATATATCCATCTAAATGTTTTCAGTGTTTTTTTATTTTTTATATTTTTTGGTAAATTAAACGTTCAAAGTGTTGATCAGTAAAAGTATGCCAAAATATGTATAATATCATTACAAGAAAAAAAAAAAAAAAAAAAAAACTAAAAATGATGACTTTTAATTTTAGATTAATTTTACTTCGTCTTAGTGGCTGCTTGTGAATTTGGCAAAACGTAGCCAAATTATTTTATTCTTATTTCCTTTAATAAATTGTCTAATTCTGTCATTTTTCTTTTACGATATTTAATGGTATGAAAAGAAAATGTAAGTTTCTTAAAATAAAAATAATAGAAGTAAATTAACTAATTGCCGTAAGATTAGATTCTATGACTACAATTAAAAGTAAGTATATAATTTCTTATTCTCAAGGAACAATTGAACACTACTGTATAGGACAATACTTAGGCCCTCACTAGTGAGATCTAAGTATTCTCACCCCTTAAGTGATCCAATAAAAATAAAACATATTATCTTTTATTAAATAGGTCAAAAAAAAAAAAAAAAAGTAAATAAATCGGATCCTACTTGAATGAGATCGGGTAAAAAGGTTTTTTTTTTTTTTTTTTTTTTTTTTTTTTTTACGGTTCTCTATTTTCTGGGTTTGGTAAAGTGTGGGCTCTTCTTCCTCTCGAGTTTATAATCCTGATCATCATCATTCAATTGAAAGAGGTATGATCTATTTTTTTGTTTACACATTTAGGATTTTTTTTTTTTAGAAAAGGACTTTCCACAAAGGATTATGATTCTCTTAGTTTCTATTCTTCTCTATTTATCCCTAGCCAAGTAACATGA